GTCAAGGGTCGGCCGATAGCGTATCACAATAGGGGCCCCACACTTTAAGAACAGCAAATATGGTTATCCATAGCACAGTGGAACCAACACCGGGTGTGCTAGCTGAAAAGTATACTCACGGTGTCCGTAAATGTCAGTGGTTGTCAGCAAGGATGATGTTCGATGAAGTGGAGGCGGTAGTGACGGTCAGGTTCACGTGTCTCCTACATCTGACATCACTTGCGTCACGTAGATTGATAGCTACTAGCTTCTGATGCTGAGAGCTTCTAACCACAGCATCGTGAATAGGGTACACAGCTGAGGGCAACGCCATGGGAGGCGTTCGCTGTTGCGGCAACAGCAACTGGCGGTCACTGCTTGTACTGGGATTACCATTACGGTGAACAGACAGGACGGTGTCTGACTCAAGAACGACTCCGGAAACACTTGTAGGAAAAACCTGACCGGGCTGGTCCTACTAGAAGTGGCTAGGTAGTGACGACCTTTGCCGTTACTCACGGCCCACTACAGCCCACCACCACTAAAACATCCCGTGTCGTGAAAAGCCCCTCCAAGTGTCTTTATGGCAGTGTGGGGTGACCTAGAGTCAAGATGACGGAATTACGATTTCTCCGTTCTTATCCTGCTACGAAGATTGTGATCCTCAAAGAAACCTAGTTATCACCTGCTATCAGCCACAAGGAAACCGGCATATACTTCATACGTCTGTTCAGAAGAGACAGAGAAAGCAACGCGGGGGGCTGAGTGGCAGTGCTTATGAGTGGACATGTCAACAATGAGCAAGCTACTAAAAACCTTGCCATCAGAACCTTGAGACGCCTCCTGGTGACACCTCGCTGTCCTACACACCAAATGTCTGATGATGCATTCTACCGAACTCCTACCAGTAACGTGGAACAGAACCGACAACCGCTCAAAGTAGTTTCTTCGATGAGGATTATAGCGCATGGCTTACGAGAGGCAGTAATGCTGGAATTCTCAGCCTCATGTAGGACGGGGTAATCTCCAGCCCGGCGTTCGACTATAACCTGCTCAACGTCACGAAAGGCTGGGTGACACAACCATATTGGCGATAACACCCACTGCGGGTGGAGCGGAGAGACAGTCACACTGGACTACCTTTTTGTCACCAACTATATGCTAGCGGAAAACACGTCTTGGCAGCGGCGATCTTGGTGTGGTAGTGTTTCATCCGTTAATTAGTGAACAGCCACATTGGGATGGACCTTGCCCCTTTCTTTGCTAGAGAAGGGCGAACTGCGTGGTAAGGAACCAACGTCTGTCAACATCATGAGTGGGGCACTTTTCCGGTCGGCCAACGACAGGGACAAGTGGGGAACATCATCAATATGGCCATCGTAAAGAATGTCCTAGTGGCCACAGCAATACCAAAGGAGCAGACCTCGTACCTGAAACGAGGCAATGAGCCAAGAGGGAAGCTTGGCTTTGCTGTGAGGAAAAGTCGGATCATAAGCATATGTGGCGCGAATGGGTCGATGAATCATCAGGATGAGGAGGAACAAGAGGTCATCAGAGGTAAATCTTGCCCATGAGCCTGGGCAAACCCGGAAACTGTACATCGATTAATATTGACGATAAAGTTCAACTAGCCAGGAAGCTCATTTTATGGGAGGTCTGAACGGGGAGAATTCCCGGTGATTGCTGAATCTCCTTTCTTTCCCCATTTGCAGAGACAGCTCCATGTCGACATTTGATGCTCAAATTCAGTCTGAACATAACTACTTTGTGGAAGTAATACCCGCCCACTGGCTCCAGTAATTATCGGACTGCTCTCACTCTTTCGCGAATTCTGGACCATCCTCACGATTAACCAACCTATTGGTCATGACTTTTGTTTGTGGCGAACCGATTAAATTTTCCCAATAGTATAAGTAGCAGAGAAATTCTGAACAAATGATTAAACTAGCAAGCAATTTACCTGTCGGCTCGGGACGCGACCTACAGTGGCTCCACACCACATATTTTCTAGCACTGTGTGTCAAGTGATCTTTTCATATTAGGGTTAAGATAAAACAAATACACCCCTTGAATAATGCTGCTTACGCTAATACAAGAGGTACCTGAAGCCTATACATAAATACTGCCATTAGACTGTTGAACATTTCAACGTATAAATCAATCCAATACAACAAATATTGCTGGTGGAATTGATTTCTGTTACCTTTAAACGTGACATGTTGACCTGGAAATGCAATGATATAGACATACACCTTGGTTATATAACTATGGATACTTTATTGATACTTCAGATCGTATAAATGGGTCCTTTGTGGTTAGCAAAGCTAAAAACTGAAGATTATTCTAAGGAACAGATTGTTATATTACTAAATAGCAAACCAGTAGAGTTTAATGACGTTCTGTCTGTACCGCCGGAGATTCGTAGTCTGGTAGATATTTTGAGATGTATCAACGCGATGAAGCCTGCAAGCTGGCTTCCCTCATGTTAAGTTTTTTTAATGTGGGAACAGAACGTTTATTCACTTATTTATTTATTTTAGTGTCACCCCCAGCACACAAGTAAACTTTCCGCTCCCGTACCAAAACGACCAACTACCTGAACAAACTTAGACCCCACCCGATGCAAGTTTGCGTGGGATCCAGATAACTCCAGTTGTGTTCCTCGAAAAGCTGTCAGAGCTCTGCGTGGCAAAGTCACTGGGATGCGATGACATTTGGCTATCTGAGTTGAAACGGTGTTCGATTGTGGGTGTGATCAGCTCCATTACCTGTTCCAACAATCTTTCGACAAACAGATGCTTCCACGAGGGTGGAAATGTGCCACTGTCCCTTTTTCCTTTGAGTGTGAAAGCAGATACAATCCGAGATGCTGTCGATCCGCAACACCTCTGCTACTGCTGTCGAAATCAACTGGGAGCCTAGTAGACTACCAAATTAAAGAATACCTGGCCATAAGGTGGCCAGTAAGTGATGCCCAATACGGTTTCTGAATGAGTAGCGCTTTGAACCTTCTGGCGGCCAGCGACGACTGGACGTAATGTGCAACCTCCACTTCCTTTTTTATGTGATTTTCGAATACTTCACCAAGGCGATAGATACAGTTTCACTTGCAAATGTCATTTGCAAGCTAACAAGGTTGAGGTTTCGGCGGGTTCCAGCTTCCTGACTCCCGTATGAGCAAACGACATCAAGTTACTGAGAGCTTCAACGTCCGGGACAGAATCAAGCACACTACAGGGTGATCTCAGATTCATTGCAGTTCGGGTGGATAACAAAGGACTGAAATGTGACCTGGATGAACGCCGTACCATGTTTTTTCGACTAGCAGAAAGCATCGTACCCTTTCCGTGATACGCAAGTTTCCCACAAGACCACGATGAAAGACCCAGAGCTGATCCTGACCAAAATGACGAACACCTGTTCCAATTATCCAGGAGTTGCCTTCAGAGCCAACTCAGAAGTATGCTTAGTGTGCCGGCATCTAGGCATTGTCACTCGGGAGCTTTTTCTGAAGACCTATGAGACATATACATGATCTCATTTGGGGGCCTACTACACCTCACGAACATATGTAAAACGAGGCACGAACGTCCCGGAGAAATCCAGAGGCATGCAACAAACAGGTTCGGGAAAACGCTGCAAAATCTCTCTGAGGAAAGGTTGAAGGTACTAGTGATGTGCTCCCCTATTTGCCGTAGGTTGTGTGGCGACATGTCCACGGCCAACAAAATAGTAAGAGACATAAGTCACCATACCTAACGGTGAATGTGTAAACCTCTTGTTAGCACGAACAGCTTCATTCACCAAGGGGTGAAAACATGCGTGCACCAACACTTTTTCGCTCTCCGAGTTTTTAGCCAGTGGAACCCATCGCCTGTCGAAACTGCTACTTATCTATCGGTTGACAGCTTCAAGAGGAGGCTGAAAAGTTTTGCAGTGGTGCATGGACTACGCTCACCCAGCTGTTCCATGTTACCATATAATTCCACACAATCCACGACAGTCAACCATATACCAATTTTTTGCGCTGCCCCTGTCGTCACCAACTTGACCCGGCCTCATACTCCCCTGTTAAACGTCACGCCCCCAGTTAAAATACCCCCGCAATCTTACTTGATCCCTCTACTTCCTCTGACTCCACGACCTCATCCAATTTTATTAAGGTTCTCTACATCACATTTGTCCTTCCTGTCTTCCTTGAGTCGATCTAGGTCTCTCCTTCCCTTTCGTTCCGTTTCCTTTCAGCTTGTATCATTTCATTCACCTTCACTCATTTTCGCTGAACATCTTTTCATGCTTCTTACCTTCGTTTTGCTGCCAGCCCAGACAACTGTTTAGGGAGACGAGAGCTGAGGAACCCATTCGCACATGTCCCAAGACAAGTCACACAACTGCAGCTCCACACACCCCTCAAAAATCGACAGCCTAGGGTTCGACGAGACCCAACATTGATGCCGACCTACGCATTTTTATCAGACTCTCCAGGCTGAAGGCGCACAGCCAAGCATCAGGCCATTCGGCACTCTGCCGTGTCACGTTGCACTGCCCGCAACCGACTCTCTAGACAGCTAGTTGGAACACGTCAGCATTTAGGCACGACCCCGCAGATACACAATTCCTATCTGACCGCGCCATTTTGTCCTTCCCTGGTCTCGTATTCGTGGGTATATTGCAAGTGCGAATAATTGGTGATTGGCCTCTGCGTCCGTCAACTTCGCACAAGGACAATTCCTAAAAAACTACAAATCTAATCAACACCCCCCCTTGCGTCTACCGTAGCTACAGGAGGTGAGTGCGTAGGTTTCCCGCATCGCAACCCTTTGAAGACCTGGAACCGTCCTCCAAGACCTAGAGGTGGATGCGAAGAAATTAATTGGCTTATATAAGTTGAATTACACTTCATTTATTCCGTCAAAGTGAGATTTTACCTCAGATTTGCTGCAGGGTGCATTCAATAATATGGGACTATATTTTCTTGTCACTATTCCGTTAAGTGAACTTGAGGTTCTTTAATGTAAATACGAAATTCGAAAAAATTGGAAGCATAATGCTTAAGGCGGGATTTCAAGTTTGGCTTACGGTTTAGAGGCTTCAATTTTCTGGTTAGGTGCACTTTCGAGTTGAATGGCAGTTTAGTTATTAGTTCGTAACAATTTCTTTGTTTATCTTTGAGTCACGTGGGCAGTTCCCGTGTTCTAGGTTTAGCCCACCAATTAGATGATCCCAGGTAGCATATGTATGCTACCTGCCTAAAACTCCCATAGTATACCATGAAAGTATTAGTTAAAATTCTATAAAAATCATTAGGGCGCACGCGGAGATGCCCAATATACCCTCAGAGAGTGTCAAAAGATCCCAGTTGCATCCGTTATTGACCCCGAAATTGTCTATGGTACCTCAGTTACTGAAGTATCGAATGTGCGTATGGTGTTTTTGAAGAACCACTTTACCTTTGCTTACGGGCTTATTAGCATAGATCATACATAACATATTTCGGAAGCCTTTCGGTTTGGCGTACCTTTTTTGTAATAGAATGCGGTTACATACTTAAAAATCCTTACAATGCACTTAAAACAGAAAATAATTAAGAAATCAGGAACTGCGCTTCATAAGTGCACTGAGTATGACAGTATCCATAGCGCACTCAAGCGTGATGCTGGCTAAGACCATTGGCCGACAGACAGAGGTGGCCATCTTCAGTTGCTGACTGAGTACCAACAATTGTTCATTATTGAACCTTTACTAGCCCTCATATAGAACCATACAGACGAACTTATTACCTCGCCTAAGATTTATTTGCAACATGTGTCATGTCCCATACTAGTAGTAATATTTGCACATGGTTTGTAAATCGTATTATTAATGATAAAGTTGATTTTGGACAATTAATTTTGCATTCGCGTAGTCATGGTTATCATATTATTATTAGTCCCTTGGGTTCCTAATGGAACATAGGGCTTCAGTAGCACGTCTCCAGTGAACTCTGTTCTCTGAAATTTTTTCAACCTGGCTCCACGACAGCCTAGAAGTTTTCATTTCCTCCTTGCACGACCTTCTCCATGTCACCCTCGGATGTCCAACTCGTCGCTTCCCATGGGGATTCCACTCGAGTAACTGGCCTGACGCGCGATATGTCCCCAGTCGGCCTTCTCAGTGTATGCCCAATCCAATCCATCTCCACTTCCTTCTGCATATTTGTTGGGGGGTAGGTACTTGGCTGGTTCGTTCCCAGAGCTCCTTGTTCCTTATTCTTTTTGACCATCTGATCTTCAGTAACGAGCGTAAGCAGTTGTTGATGAATGTCCGTGGTTTATCGGAAATCCCTTTCGTAACGCGCCAAGTCTCTGAACCATATAGAAGCACTGACTTGACGTTGGAGTTGAAAATCCTGCTCTTGTGCTTTGTGCTGAGTGCAGAAGATCTCCACACTGGTTTCAGGCTAATGAACGCCTGTCTTTCTTCTCCGATCCTGGCTCTGACATCCTCGTCTATGTCACCTGTAGTTGAAACAGTGCTTCCTAGATAGGTGAAGGAGGTTACTTCCTTTATGTTTCTCCCGTTTATGGTGATTGGAGTTTGTTGTTGTTGTTGGAGTTGTTGGTGTGGTATCTTCATCACCTCTGTCTTCTCTATATTCACTTGAAGTCCCATCTTCGCTGCCCTGCCTCTTCTGCCAACTTGTTAGTTTTCGCCTGTAGATCTTCAAGTTTGTGTGACATCAGGCACAAGTCATCGGCGAAATCCAGATCTTCTAGGTTCTTTTCCGCAGTCCAGTGTATCCCCCTCTTCTCGCTCCCCACTGTTTGCTGCATGATCCAGTCGACCACAATCAGGAATATCATGGGGGATGGTAGGCAACCTTGTTTCACTCATGTCTTCGCTTCACTTCGAAGGCATCACTGAGCTTCCCACTGTGAATCACTTGGCATATGGCGTCTTCATATAGTTGTTGAATGAGGCTGATAAAGGTTTGCGGTATTCGTAGTATTGAAGCGGTTTCAAAATTACCTCTCGGTCGACGCTGTCAAAGGCCTTCTCAAAGTTGAGGTAGAGAGTTGACTGCCATTGTATACTTTGTTCTATGATGATGCGAAGCGTTGCAATTTGGTCCGTACTTCCTGAAGCCTGCCTGTTCCGGTCATAGTTTTGAATCCAGATCATCCTTCAGCCTCTCCAGGATGATGCGGCTAATATTTTGCTTGCTCTGGGTGGGCAGCAGAGTGATTCCGCGCCAGTTCTTGCAAACACTGAGGTCTCCCTTCTTCAGCAGTTTGACAAGGTAACCCTACTTCCAATCGCCAGGTACCTTATCTTCCTTCCACACCTTCTGCAATAGTGGTGTGAGCATGTCCACTGTTGTCCCTGCGTCTGTTTTCAGTGCTTCTGGCGGGATCCCGTCTGGTCCTGCTACTTTCCTGCATTTCAGTAACTTTATGGTGTTCAGAACTTCGATTCTTGTCGGAGGGCTTGTGTTCACTTGTAGTTCTGTGGCTGTAGATGGTATTTCTTGACGAAGTGCAGGCAGTGGTCGATTCAAGAGCTTCTTGAAGTGGTCAGCCCACCATTTCCTTTATTTCTCTTCCTTGGTAATTAGATTTCCCTCATCATCTTTTATTGGTTTCATCTGTATTGATCTCTCCCCAGATAGTAATCTGGTTATTTGATATAATGTTGTCAGGTCTCTCCTACCAGCAGCCTGTTCTGCTTCACTTGCCAATGTGTCATGGAAGTGTCTTTTGTCTTTCGGTGCACTCTTCTTCACTTCTTTGTCCAGTGTTTTATACCTTGTACTCAGTTCCTCTTCTCGTTGTGCATCCTTGCACTGGTTCATCCTCTGCTTCACCATCCTCCTCTCCTCTATCAGCTTCCATGTGCCCGTCGAGATCCATTCCTTGTCTTGTTTCCTCTTCCTCCCTAATACGGTTATGCATCTCTTTCAAAGAGTTCCAGTGTTCTTCCACGCCCGATCCTCCAGGGATGTTGCTCAACGTCTCTCATTTTGTTCTGATGGCTGACGTGATGTCCTTTTTAGTTTTGTCCTTCAGTTTCTGTTCGGGTGTTGACTTGAACTGTGATCTATCACCAACTTCTCTGAAGGCTTTCAACTTGATTTGAAAGTTCTTGCACTAGACAGTGAGTGGTGTGAACCCACATCTGCTCCTCTTCTTGACCTTGTGTCAAGTAGACTGCGTCTCCATTTTCTTGAGATTGAGATAAAGTCGATTTGATTTTTAGTGTGTCCATCTGGTGAAATCCATATCGCTTTGTGGATATCCTTGTGCTTGAACACACTGCTTCCAATCACCAAATCGTTGAATGCACAGAATTCTGAAAACAATTCTCCATTCTCGTTCATCATCTCACCGAGCGCTTCTCAACCCATGGTTAGTTCCCTTCCTGTGTTGTCTGCTCCCAGTTTGGCATTCATGTCGCCCATCAGAATGAGTTTTGATATCGCCAACTGAGTCTTGTCCAGTGTTGATTGCAGTTGTCTGTAGAATTCCTCCTTCTTCTCTTGCTCTGCATTATTTGTAGGCGTGTAGGGTAGCATTGGATGATTGTGACCTTCCTTCCTTTTGAGTTGAACCTTGCTGTCATGATCCTGGAGGAGATTGGTTCCCACTGCATGAGAGCCTTCAGTGCTCTTGGGGACATCATGATAGCCACTCCAAAACTCAGTGTGCTCGTGGTTGTCGTCTGGGTGACAATATCGGAGTAGATTATTGATTCTCCAGTTGACAGTTTGGAGAGTCCACTCCCATTCCATCTGCTTTCGCAAATTCCAAGCACTTCGATGTGACACCTCTTCATCTCGTTTGCGATCTGGGCTGCCTTGCTGGGTTCAAACATGGTGCGGACATTCCATGTCCCCACGTCTACTTTCGCTTTCATCGAGAGAAGACACATCAGCCAAATGTCTTTCTGAAGGCTTTCACCAACTGGCGTCATTCCGCCTCTCCGATTCCTGCGAGGAATAATTTTGTTATTATTTTTATATTTCGTTTGTGCTTTGAAGTTTCTTCAGCGGTTAGATTTGTTTTACGGGGTAGGGTTGCTAGCCCTATGCCCAACCTTCCCTCTTTACCCGGGCTTAGGACGGGCTAGTAACTAGTGAACTAGTTAACCAGGCGAGGTTGTGTAGTCATGGTACGCGTCATAAACGATGCAGTTTCCAGGAAACCCTTGTTTATGTCTTCAAACAATATAAACAGATGTAAGTTAAAGACGAAAAATGTGGTGTTAAATGACTGTGAATACCATAGTTTCTTTAAGTATGCAAGTGAACTACTATGCCGAGACTACTGATAAGTTGAATTCATTACAATCTACGCTCTTATTAATTTGAAGAATAATAGACCACTCTATAAGGCTACCATTTTTCGATTTCATGGAGTGATTTTTCACCTCGTCACACTATTAGTTTTTAAATCACTAGAATATATTGTCAAGAAAGACATTCTTTCTCAGTATCATATAGTGTTAAGCTTCAGGAACTCAGAACAAATAACAGGCGTTCACATGGCACATCTGAGAACAACAAAACACCGTGCTCTATTTTCACCTCACTTAATTGTCTTTTTTCCTCATCTCCTCTTTCTGAAGCGTACAGTACTTTGGAGTTCCCCGTATTTAAAATCATCCATAAGGTTTTTAACTAGGTTTGACTTTTTCAGCCAAACTTTCGCCTGGTTAGATTGATTCGTGACAGTATTTTTTCGGGGCAATATTTTGTGTTCATACGAAATAAGTGATACATATTACAACCACCGGAGAATCATCTTGACTAACTGTGTGAAAGTTTAGTTAGTAGGTATTCGAACTTTTTTCTACATCGATAGTCATTCAGGGAATGTCTGAGTTACAGACCTAGATGAGGATGTATTGACTAGATCGTCACGCTCCGACCGCTTCTGAAATGCAAGCATATTTACTAAAGCCCTACGTTAAGCATATTTCCAATCTAAAGATGGAATTAAAATTCATCCATCGAGAGTTTCTTTTGGCAGTGTTTTACTGAAAAAGTATCTGAATTGATGACAACTAGTGATGTCCACAACTGATGCACACTGCTACCGTTCCTATCTAACTACGTTATCGACGTGCTAATGGGCGTAACCTTAGGTTTATCTGACTTCACAGGGATTGATCTATTCGTTGAAGGTCATCTGGTTGGCTTGGAATATGCAGACGATATTTTCCTGCCAGGTGAATTCGTTGACAAAACGTAGTCTTCTGAAAGTGCAGAGCAGAAACTTGAATATGTTTCGCATGCGTTTCACACCTATCAAATGTAAGATAATGCTGCACGACCGGTCTAAAATTACTCCAAGTTTAATGAAAGGGAGTGAAGTGGTAGGATGTGCCAACCACTTCACTATCGGAGTTGCATCAGTCCGAATGGGCTGGTTGCTGTCGTATTCTCAACTCGGAGACAGAAGACCTGTATGGCATTTGCCAACTTGCGTCACCTGTGGCTCTGACTGCCAAGATATCTGACTATCTATCAAAAGAACGAGTACACTGGGCTGCAGTCCGTTCTCTCCTGTTACGCAGCTATGAGACATGGTCATTGGAAGTAGGACTGTTGGTGACATGACTGAAAATCAGTCACAATGGTGCAGATGTATTCACTCCTTGTTATCGTCTGAAGCTTGAATGTTTGCACTAGCTTTTATTTTCATATTGTTTATTCTCTCCTAACTTTGTCTACTTTAATATCACTTTTTCTGTCCACCTGTTCTGTGTGTAGTACTGTAAAGTTTGGCAACTTGGACCGATGCACTTGTGTGCGACGTCCTTCCCACAATGATTTTATCTTGCTTAAGCCTAACGAGCATCTGGTTAACTTATGGCGCTCCTATAACAATCATATTCGTGAAGAATAAAAGAAAACGCCTTAAACTGAAATCTGAGTGTTTGACATGCTTCGTGCCTCTCTGAAATGCAAAATAAAGCTTCGAGACCGTCTTGCACCTATTTCTACTTTAAGAACAGGTGTTCAATTAACGCAGTTTGTTGGCTATTTCACCTACCTGGAAAGTTGTATCAGTTCCAATGGACTAGTGTGCCACAAAATATTGATTTAAAATCCTGTTTAGCACACGAGTTCCCTGCATCTATGGCATAAGGAAGATCATGCTCTCTATCGAACGGCGAGTGTACTATGCAGTAGTCTCCTCTGTCCTTTACGGCTGAGATGTGACCACTGTAGGTCGAAGATACAAGCGGATTACAGCTTTTTGGTCATTGGTGTCTCCATGGTACCACTCACTTGTGGTATGATCACAATGAGTAATGTTGAGGCTAGTTGTAGGTTGCTAGACAAACACATGCGTTACATATGACTATTGACCTAAGCTTTGTAAAGGAATACAGGTCTCCTGTTTAGGGTAATCTAAATGTTAGCAGTCGATGTTCTATAACTCGATGACATGTCACAAACCTAATCACAGTGGAGCAGACCTATTCGCTCCTAATTGTCTTCGAAATTTCTGAAATTTTACTAGCCCTTATTTATTCTGTCTCCTGTTACATCTTTTCTGAATATTTTACGCCCTCTTTTAATGTTTCAGGTTGTGGCAGCTTGATTTAATGCAATTCTATCAAAAGTCCGACATCTGTCTGGTATCATTCCTGAGACTTCACACGTCGTTCGGGCCAACGTAAATGTCAACTACTAAAGGTTTAGCCCGTAGGGCATGCTGTTGACTACCATAAAAACGAATAGTCAAAGAGCACCCCACTTGCGGATTTTCGAGTGATGAAATATCATTGGCTGACAATTGATTTGACTCAACTTGGAAGATAGCATGCCGAAAAAATGTCAACTCAAATACAAAAAACCCGTTCTGTATTAGCCAATATACTTCATATCTAGCGCGGACGATATATCGCATATTAAAAGACGAGTGTACTGCACTACAGTCCTCTCTATCCTATTACATGGCTATGGCTCGGACACTGAAAACATCACAGGTTTTTGGCCACAGGTGTCATCGTAGCGTAGCTCACAAATAGTGGAATCACTGTATGATCAATCAATAGGTTAGGCATACTAAGCCACTGTTTACGTCAAAGTGCAATGTCAATTAATGTAGGGTTAGATCGGAAGATGACTGAGATGGCCACATCAAGAAGTCGCACGAGCCCAAGAATATTCTGAGTGTTGATGTGAGTCGTGCAGGGAAGTGCAAAGTGCCTGGTTGAGAATCGATTGTTTGAGATCCTTGGCTGAAATTGGTTCCAGTGGCGCAGGTGTATTCATTTCTTGACATCTTT